ACATACATACATACATACATACATTCTGCTGTTGTTTAAAAAAAAGAGCTAATGTAATAGGCCAATATAAAGTAAATATAATAAAATGAATACCTGCAATCAAGCACATCTCTACCTGGCTATGTTATGACTAGGAAAGACTCACTATACTACTGTATCTTGAACACATCTAACCTGATTTCAGAAGTTAAGAAGAAAGATCACTAAGAAATACTAGGATCTCCAGATAGGACCAAGAAAGAAGCCTGCCTGAAACCCTGGAAAGTCACTGCTAGTCAGAAGAGACAAGAGTCAGCTACAGTATAATACCCCTATCCACATGATCAGTGTCTGTGGATTTATTTATTTATTCATGAGAAAAAACTGAAAATATTAAATAAAAAACTCCAGAAACATGTATTCCATAGTGTATTTACCAGATGTGGCCATTAGAGGGAGCAAGATACTGTGCTATGTACAGTACTGTATATGGGTATCTTTCACTATTTCCAGGTTTTCCAGCATCCATAGGTGGGGGGGCTTGGAACCGATCTCCCACAAATACTGCAGTCCTACTGTACATATATAATGGACACATAAGCAGGCCCTGCAAGGTAGGCGGGCTAGTGGAGCCATTTGGCCTGGATCTCATCTCAGAAGGGGAGTCCTACCACTGCCTAAAGCCTAAAAAGAAAGCTAAATAAAATTATACTGTAATTCATTCTACAAATAAAAGATTTCTTCCATGTCATTCTTTACATTAAAATATTTTATCTCTTCCCAAACCAGCATTTTGCTGCCCTATGCATTAAATCCGGGTCTGATAGAACAGGCAAACACAGGGAAAGGATGGGAGAATGGAGACAAATGTCTGTATTTGGGTGCATAGCAGCCATATTGGTTCTGCCCTGAACCCACCTTTCTGTTTATATTTGCCTAGGAAAGAGCACCTAGAGGCTATTGTTTCCAATTTTCTCTTGAATGCCTCCAGTGTTGGAGTGCTCACTACATGTTTCCATTGTCATACTGCTCTAACACTTAATAAGTGTATTCTGATATTCAGCTAAAATCTGGCTTCCTGTAGCTTGAGCCCATTATTATGTGTTCTGCACTCTGGGATGACTGAGAGCAGATCCTGCTCCTCCTCTGTATGACAGCCTTTCAAGTATTTGAAAAGTGCTATCCTATCTCCTCTCAAGTCTTCTTGTCTCAAGACTAAGCATGCCCTGTTATTGTAGCCTTAGTTTCCTGGTCATCCTTGTTGCCCTCCTCTGAACTTGTTCCAGTTTGTTGCCATCCTTCTTAAAGTGTGGTGACTAGAACTGGACACAGTACAGATGAGGCCTATTCAGTGTTGAATGGAGAGGAGCTAGTAGCTCATTGCACTTGGAGACTATTTCTATTAATCCATCCTGAAATAGCACTTGCCTTTTTTGCAGCCACATCCTTCTCACTTCAAACATGTAGTACCATGTTTCCCCGAAAATAAGACAGGGTCTTATATTAATTTTTACTCCAAAAAAACACATTAGGGCTTATTTTCAGGGGATGCTTTATTTTATTTTTCATGTACAATCTACGTACAGTCATGTCATCTTCTTCTGGTTGCTGCATAATGGTGGAGGGCGGGCTTTCACTTAACTAGGGCTTATTTTGGGGGTAGGGCTTATATTACGAGCATCCTGAAAAATCATAGTAGGTCTTATTTTCAGGGAAACAGGACATTACTGAACCAAGTATTCCCCGTCTTGTAACTTTACACTTATATCTGTTAAATCTAATTCTGCAGTTTTCAGCCCAGTGCTCAAGCCTATTTTTTTTAAATTTTGTCCCTGACTTCCAAGGTATTAGCTATATCAGCCCTAATAGGCCACAAGGCAAACGCATTCTCCCTGCCCCACCCCCACCACTATTCTTTGCCACTCTCTGTGCTGTGATCCTGTGGGACCTTAACTATATCATCCTGGTTTCAGCCTTGACTACAGCACTGCAGATAGGCACATTAATACAGTCAAGGCAACACTGAAAGCCCCACACCCCAAAGCCACAGTCTCTATGCCACTTTTGCCAAAGAAAGAACATTACAAAGGTAAAGGTAAAGGTTCCCCTTGACAATTTTTGTCCAGTCGTGTTCGACACTAGGGGGCGGTGCTCATCCCCGTTTCCAAGCCATAGAGCCAGCGTTTTGTCCGAAGACAATCTTCCGTGATCACATGGCCAGTGCGACTCAGACACGGAAACTTCATATATAAAACTCCAAACATACTGTAAGGTTTTCTTTTCCTTTCTTTTCTTAAGACAAATTCAGGAAAAGCTGCTGCTTAGTTCAGAAGAAGTCATGCAAAGTGAACAGAAAAAGTAAAGCTACAGTTTGCATCATTTTATTGCAAACCCCCAGCCCCCAGTATTGCAAGAGACATTTTTAAAAATGTGTAATACAAAATGCATCATTTTATTGCAATTCAGATTATCTTGGTGAAAACTGTAAACTCAATCCATTTTATTAGAATTCAAAAGAAAAACAGCCATAGTTTCAGAAAGGTGCCTGCTTTAATGTGCCAATACTGCTCTCTGCTGAACCTACGGAGATGCTCTTGCTAAAATTCTCTCCCTCCCTTGCTCTAGGCATTTTCTCACAGTACAAGGAACCACTTTAAAGAGTTTGGCCCTGGCTCGATGCCGAGGGCTCG